TTATGTTCAACTAGTTTGGTAAAGTTAATATACTAGACTTTAATTAGTATGATATATTTAAAGTACAATACGGTCTTACGAGACTTTGAATAAATAGAGAGATTTAAAGGTAACATTCAACCTCATTAACTTTCTAAAAGGTAGACAAGCTTTATTTGATTAAAATTCAGAACCGTTTAAATCTAACTTATTTATATCACCTGTGGTTGTTTTTTTTTCAGAACCTATAGCACATGCAGTATTTTGAGTCGTCGAGAGTGTCAAGAAATCCGCTAATAGTAGCGGACCGCGTTCAGAAATCTCTAAACACAATTAATGATTGGAGTATCGATTGGTGGATCATGCTGAACCCCATTAAAATTCAAGGCATTATATTCTATAGAAGTATAAATAAACATTTCAAAAGCCCCAAAAAAGTCAAATCAGGTAGGTAACGTAAAAATTAAATTTTGTTCAAAAGCTAAATTTCTTGGTGTTACATTTCAAAGAAGATTCACATGGGTAGAACATATAAATAAAACACGTGAAATCATCAGTATACGTATTAATCACCCCAGATTTGTAGCTGGTAAAAATAGAATCATCAGTATACGTATTAATCACCCCAGATTTGTTGCTGGTAAAAATAACGGATGTAAAGCTCACATTTCAAAAATTTAGAAAGTATATATATATACGACCTATTATTGAATACGGTTGCCAAGTTACTTTTAATATGTCAGATAATACACTCAGGAAATTACAATGGCAACATAATAAAATATTAAGACTAGCCCTCAGGTTTTACATTTATACCCCCGGTAGTTTCTTACAGAAAGTAAGTAACTTATCTTTATTAAAAGACAGACTAAATACATTAGCTAGAAGTTAGAAACACATTAACCTCTGCCCTTCACACTATTACTTGTGTACTACACAGAACAATAGCTCCATACAACATGTATCCCTGTCAAACTTAAAACAATACACACATACCAAGAGATCTGAACTTTGCTTACGCCTAACCAGTTTCATGTTTTGCATTACAGCTTGGGCACATGGCAACTAGAACATTTGGCGCTTGCCCTGTAAAAATTGGAGTTTCTCGAGGTACTCTCGTTTCCTCCCACAGCCAATTCTAAGGCATAGGAGTTATAGCTCCTCGCGCCACCCTGAAAAGGATCATGTTAATGTTCCGCAGTCAAACCTGGATGTTTGACAGCCCAGTCCAGCCAGATTCCCATACTGACAGTCTCAAGTCTTCTCACAAGATCTATACACTGAAGATTGTCCCTGTCTTTACTTTGCGAACTTTGTTTCAACCTAAGAAGTTTTAATAACTTCAACAAAGCGTCAACAAAATTGAGTTTCTCTAGAGATGACAGATATCTTTCAATTTAGCTTTAAACGAAAATCTCACGTGCGGGTCGAAGGGAATACAAATATTTCCGAGCTCCCTAGTTGGGAAGAATTTGCTTTCTGCTAACTCTTTCTTTAAACTAAATTCCTGTCATAAATATAAAACATAAAATAAAAACAGTGTTTTGAGCATATAACAACAATACGTAATTTAAAAAAGGTTCGTTACTGTTAATTCTGTCTTATCAGATGATATGACGTATGGAGTCCTATATGGCCCATAAATGGTTTATATGTGATATAATCAGATGTAAGTTCACAGTGCCTTTTTTCTTCCTGAATTTAAAAGAAACATTATGTGACTAACTTTGAACAACTAACTTCAGTATCTCTTACTTCAGATAATACGTACGCGTAGTTTTCTGTGGTAGCGTTACTTTACGTGGAGAATGCAACCAGCTTGCTGTCCTTGACAAATTAGTGTTGGTGTGATCTTCTCAACAGGAAGATTATATATTTTCAGTACGCGTAGTTTTGTGTGGTAGCGTTACTTTACGTGGAGAATGCAACCAGCTTGCTGTCCTTGACAAATTAGTGTTAGTGTGATCTTCTCAACAGGAAGATTATATATTTTCAGTACGCGTAGTTTTCTGTGGTAGCGTTACTTTACGTGGAGAATGCAACCAGCTTGCTGTCCTTGACAAATTAATGTTGGTGTGATCTTCTCAACAGGAATGATATATATTTTCACTTGATTAGCCATAGTTCTGTTCTTGATAGAAACATCATGAAACATGTAAGTGACACGCAAGGCAGCATTCGACTGGTTTCACGTACATGATTGTGTTATATTTGTAAATTTCACTACGTATTAGCTAGTGCTAATTCGAATGACCTGAAAATCCCTGAATTCACGAAGCAGACATCTGGTGAAACTATTTATTAATATTAAGTTTTATCAGGTAGCATCTTATAGAAAACTTAGAGGTCTGGTGAGACTTGACATTGTTGAAAACTTCAGTTCTCTGCTATTCATACTAGCATGTCGGATTAGAGCTAACATGCTAGTTTTTTCTGTGAAAACTGATACCTTTGTTCATTTTATGTTATAAGATGTTCTTTACTTATGTTTTTTTGTGTTAGGCTTTCGTTATTTCATAAACAAATAATTACGTATTAGCTTAAAGATTATGATCTTATAGTTCAACAAGTGGAATTAAATAAAACTGGTTCAGTTAGACTAGCAAAACAGCGAAATTCAACTAAACATCTAAAAATAGTGTGAGCAGCACTTACTTTTTGTCTTTATACTGTTTTTTTTTGTTCATTATCGGTACTATATAAATTAACAACATTATAACCTTCTATACAATTTTCAATCAAGACACGAAGAAATAGACATCCAGAGGCTAAGTTCAAAAAATGTTCTGCCAAACTGTTTTTATAGGGGCAAAAATGGCTCCCTTTTGTGGTTTTACTGCAAACACAGAACAAACACTGATATAAACGGCTTTAGGGCTATGGAGAACAGTTTGATTACACTTTACTTAAAAGCGAGAAACTGCACCGACGAAATGGTTCGTTATCTCGGTATAAAGAACTTTGCCCAATGATACAAGTGACATAAAAAATATTGTGGTAATTTTTAGCTGGCTACTAGCTAGGACTTTTTCACTGTTTTCAGGTTATTGTTAAGTCTAAACGTTTTGATTAATACTTGTAGTTTATTGACCAAAAATATCAATAATGGTTATATTATACAGGTTTTGTCTTCACAGTTTTTTTTTGTAAATAAACAAAAAACAAACAGCTTTCACGTACTCTACAATCCAAACCAATTCTTGACAGGAGCGGTTAGAAAACTTTTGTTTCTCTTTGCTCCACTCCACATTTAGTGAATGATAGTAAATTTTGACCTAATGGCTGAGATGTTGAGTAGCTAGATTAGAATGTAGTAGCGAAATTGAGAAGGTTGTTAACACGTAGTTTCGCGTACTTGAGACGCTGCTTTCATTTTATCTGAACTTGCCTCTGCTACGTAGTAAATATGAAATTTTGTACACATATCTAAAACACGCCTTTTCTTAACTTATTTCCCACAAGACGTGTACTGTTAGTTCTAGTGAAGAAAAATGTTTTACTACTAAGTTGAAATTAAGTAACATTTTTAAGTTTTCTGCAAATTGTTATAAATAAAAGTTGAGTGATCATAATATGATCAGGTTTCAAATGATAATCTCAAAAGCAAATATTTAGGCAAAATTTTTTCAATGTTTCTAATAACATTGTTGTGCTGGCATTAGCATCTATACAAAATTGATCTATTTCTATCGATCTATATGAGAATCTAAAGACATACAATTTTCTGAACAATTCACGCGACTGACACTCACTTTTGGCTACTTGCCAAATAAGAAGTGACTACCGTTGAGTATAATATTGTGTAGCGAAGTTTTGTTTTTGTTCTTCTTACTCTGCTGCAGTTCGATCCTGAAGAGTAATAAAAAGAAACTTGACTACTGAGTCATACTAAGGGATTAATATTATCAGAACACAGTTATGGGACAGAAAAGCTACGTGCGAAGAAGAAATTATTTCAAATACTGTGTAAGGTAATTATTATTTTAAGGTAATTGAAATTTAGTATTTAGAATTTTTTTAATTGAAAAGTTACGAGTTCCTTTGGATAATATCTTTAAAAGACATATTAATTCATTATAACACTAAGTGTTAAAATACCGCACTTCAAGTTTTGATCATGCAGAAATAACAATTATGTAAGTTATGAAAAAAGAAGCCATATGACTATTGTTTTTTACCAAATGAAATGATAGTTACAACTACCAGATAACTTGGAACATATAAAGAAAAATAAAAAATAGGGAAATATATATTACGAGGTATAGTCAATCAAACGAATTTTGAGCTCATTTCTGACATATAAAGATAAACATATAAAGATGCAGCTATTACTATTAAAAAATCAGATTTTCTATAGAAAACATTCCTCTTCTATCACCTCATATTCCACTATGATGTTTATTAAACACGATTACAGGTAAGACACCCACTAGTTAGTATATTGCTTTTCAACTTCTAGCATGAATTACACAATATAAGTGGACATCGTAAATTAGTAACCTTCACAACATACATCCTGCATTATTAGATGATGATTTAGGATCATGTAAATTATTATTTCACTCGTTTAAACTAATCACATTTAGAAATTTACATGAACATAAATGTGATTAGTTCAAGTGAGTGAAGTAGTAGTTTTAATTAAACTATTTCACTTGTTTGAACTAATCAGATTAATGTTCATGTAAATTACTACTTGACGCAAATGAGCTGATCACCAATAGGCTTTTCAAAACCACCTAAGCGATTAAACTAGTGACAGAAATGCCTACACTCAACATGATCATTCAAAATAATAATCTTTACAATATCTATGAGGTTTTGATTCCGTTTTACTTCACCATATAGTAAACTAAATTAACTTAGGTATGTGAATAATGTTGGTGTAAAAAGAAAAGAAATCTTTAACATATATATTCAATTATCTTTACAGTTCACTTTGTTTCATTACAACAGTATATTATGAGGTTTATCTTTTTTCGATTTAATTAAACTACTAAGAAACAAAATCATGAACTTACATGCTTAAGGAAACTGACAATGTTTTCCGTTGGAACGTCTACAATAAGATTCTTTACGCCTGCTTTTCCTATTTCTTTCAAGAGTTTCCGGTATTCCTGGCCTGGCACAAGCTGTTTGACAAGTACTTTCTGCTTTATTTCTCGCATTAGGGGATCTTTAAGTAATTCTTCAAGACGTATTAGTGCTATAGTATAGGAAACGGAAATATTATGTGTTATGAAAGATGTCGAGAAACGATCTGTTATGTTAAAACACGCAAAGCATCAGTGAAAACTCAAATAGCCATGAGGCAATTTGCAGTTCTTCTGGTAGTGACATCTAAGAAAATTGTAGTAAAGCATTCTGGATTTTTTAAACTAAAATTTAAAACTATCTATTTTAAATGAAATTGTAAGTAAACACAAAGAATATTTTTTGTAGAATATCATATCATCCCATCATAATACACGTTTTATCTTGACAAAAGTTATCATCCCATCATAATACGCATTTTATCTCGACAAAAGTTATCATCCCATCATAATACGCATTTTATCTTGACAAAAGTTATCATTCCATCATAATACACGTTTTATCTTGACAAAAGTTATCATTCCATCATAATACACGTTTTATCTTGACAAAAGTTATCATCCCATCATAATACACGTTTTATCTTGACAAAAGTTATCATCCCATCATAATACACGTTTTATCTTGACAAAAGTTATCATTCCATCATAATACACATTTTATCTTGACAAAAGTTATCATTCCATCATAATACGCATTTTATCTTGACAAAAGTTATCATTCCATCATAATACGCACTTTATCTTGACAAAAGTTATCATTCCATCATAATACGCATTTTATCTTGACAAAAGTTATCATCTCATCATAATACACGTTTTGTTTTATCTTGACAAAAATCAAAGTTAACCTAAAACTATATTTATATTTCATCTTAATAATGATGATTTTATTTTTTACAAAATATGCAAACATTTTGGCCAAAACTGTACCTACTTTACCAGGATTACGATTTTCCACTACCCTAATCAACAGTCCGATCATACATAAATCCATAGGCGCTGCGTCCGGCAACTTGACTAGTTCGTCTTCGTAAGGAATAGCATGAATACCTATTTTCATTCTCCAGCTTAAGAAGGTATGCAACTGTTGAATGGATATGTTGTGGAAGCCTTACATAGTTGATTCCATACCTTGTACCAAAGCCGCTATCTCTTTGTGGTACAAACGGCACAGAACATTGGTCCGGTAATAAGTAAAGTTCACCTTGGCGTTAAATATACACTCTCAGGAGCCCTAACTTGCAATATCCAGCAATGATTATAAATCCTTCGAAAAAGTTTCTTGAAATACCATATACTACTTTGAAACTTTTTTCCACCCATTTATTGACAAAAAATAGCACGATACTTGTTACATTTACCTATGTATACGTACGATTTGTTGAGTGTCACCAAGTTTTACCCCAGTATGAAGTACTTTTCATACAGTTTTATACAAGTGCTCTTTCTTTTCTGGATATGCCGTAGAAGAAACTTATATATGATTTGTGTCTGTGTTGAAGATGTAGATCCTTCTTGATTTTGTTACGTACTGTTGCCTAAATCACCTGGACGACTTTTGCCACTGACTTCTGTGTTCATGAATTCTCACCTGTTACAAGATGTCGCACTAAGCTTGCCACAATTGGGCTATGACTTCTTGTAGATCTCTTTCTGGACTCTCTTGGTGTACCAAGTTAATTCATATTCCTTTTTTTTTCAATTTCGTTAACTGTAAGGGATATTCTCGACTTAGAAGTTTCAAATCACCGATCTGAACACAACTTTAAGATCTGAGTGTATGAATATTTTGCGCCAGAAGGAGCTGTTACGTACCCTTCCCATGACTGATCAATTTTCGGTGGCATAACACTTCCTACTTAACTTCATACAGTGTTAAAATGTAATTCTGATGCATACCTTTCAATTGCGACTTTATATTGGTATGTCTGTCAACAGACTTACTGATCATCTAGTTCAAAATCGTTTTAAAACATCGTACTTAACTCCTTGTATATTAATGTTCTATTCATTATTTTGTTTCATATATTGTAACGTTGACAATCAACTGTGTCTTTCTTTATCACAAATTAAGTGCGTCAATATCCGTTTAATTACGATCGTCCCCCGATAGGACAACGGTAAGTGTTACAACACTAAAATCCTGGGTACGGTTCCCCTTGTTTGATACAGCAGATAGCCCAATGTGGCTTTGCTAAAACAAAATAGATCCAAATTTAAATTCAACTACATTCAGTTGATTGTCTCAGTTAATATACATGGAAATTGGGGAAAAATATACGGATTCTTGTACAAGGATATTTTATAATGTCATTTATATTTATAAAACTGTTGTTAAAATCTTATTCTGTGTTTTATTATTATATTTGACGTGTAGGAATTATAGACACTAACACTCATTTTCACCACATTCCATGCAGTTTAATATAAATTTACACAACATTTTATATAAGAAAATATATAGAGTGGCAAATGGTTTGTAGATCTTTTGTCTATATGTTTTTTGACAATGATTGATGATTTAACTTGGAATTCACAACTCTGAGACATAAGGCTGCGTAGCTAATAAACGGTAATCAATAACCAAACTAGGTACATCTTAGGGAATCCATTCAACAAGGTAGAGCTAAAATACCATTAAACATTTGGAGAACGATTTATGTCCTTAACCTGACTGTTTTTAATATTGGGTTTAATGACATTCAAAGGAAACAACTTAGCACGATGCTGATAATCCATCCATAAAACAATAATAATTTCTAATGAAATCCTAAGAATATTATTCTTATATTTCTGCAAAAATATATTATATATATAGCTTTTTATGTTGTTTATTAGTTAATGAATCACATTTAGGTTCAAGAAGAACTTGAGAAAAAGTTTCAAGTCAAAAGCATTTGTTTAACCGAGCTGTTTACAAATGTTTGATAAGAGTTGTTGTTGTTTTTAGTGCAAAGCAACAATGTGCTATCTGCGCTCGTGTGATAAGACATTTTAAAACTAAAAACAATTGTTTCGTCCAACGTTAAATAAGAGCTGTTTTTTAGCGCCAAGCTACTCACTGGACTATCTACGCTCGTGAGATATTTAGCACAAAGCTTTTGTATAATTGGCTGTCTGCGCTCGTGAGATAAGAAAGATGGTTAAATGGTCAATCAATATATAGATAAAATGCTAGAATATATAAAAAAATTCATTTTTACGTTGAAAGTATATTACTGAGTAAATTAACTATTTTGCAAGTTATGCTCTTTGGAAAATTTTTATTTTCCAGCTTATGCTCAAAGATTGTTTTTACAGATATTTATGTAAACTCGAAATTGAAGATAACCTTTGACTCAGGTAACCTTTGATTGTTGTTATTACTTGAGCATGTTTCCGTACGTAATGTTTTTATACAAGCAAGTCATTTATAAATACAATAAAATTAGAATTAGTTGATATGTTATGATGCCATTCTCGAAAAGTGTAAGTACGGTAACGAACTGTAAAATTTTCTGAAGATGACATCATGTGATAATCCAAACAAAGAAATTGTCAAAGGAAAACGACTGATTTATGCAAGTTCGTTAAATTTTCCAAAAAACCTTAAACTGTTATAATTTATAGTAAAAAATAGTAAAGAAACTGATAGTTTTTCTCAGTTACCAAAGGGTGTTTTTTTAAGAGAGATCTAAGTGGTGGGCACATGAGCAATATAAACACCTGTGTTCAGGAACAAAATTGATTTAAAAACAACATTTATGCGAGGAAAACTGAAAGTACAAACTTTTAAAACTGATTCCATAACGTTTTCCTAAATTAACTCATCAATAAACCAGACGATAGCAATTCACTTAGATCATTCCATAGCAAAAACTCTCAAAATAAATAACACAAAATATTTTCTAAGTCGGTTTCCTCAAATATTAACTCAATGAATCAGAGAACGTTTCGCTAAGCTAATGAATATTAAAAACATCAAAACACAACTGTTCGCAGAGTTACAGGATTAATCAGGTTGACAAATTAATTCAATAGAAATCAAGTTCCGACCACTGAATTGAAGTTTTTATATAATTCTCGTTTAGAGTTATATTGACTCAGTCTTACTGACCTCTACAATGAATTTTCAATACAAACCACTACAATAAATGAAGCCGTATATTTTAAACTTGGGTATTTTGGGGAAGTATAGGGAAGAATTTCCTTAACCTTATGTTGTTTATTGCACAGTGCCATTCATAATCTTCCCCTTACCTTTTAACAGAAGAATAGTACGAAATAATAAACCATTTCATTACTAAAGGAAGAGAGGAGGGTGTGTTTAGAGGATTTAACAATGGGAAAGGAAGAAGATAGGCAAAAATAGAGGATATATATTTACCTTCGTTTTCTTCGTAAATGATTGCAAAGTTTTTCCATTCCTTACTCTTGACGAGATCGCGATACGCTTTGCTAAGACTGTTAGCAAAAGGAAATAAGTTAACAGTGTGATTATCCGGCCGAGCTCTGAAGTCCCACAGTGTTTCTATGTGCGGCACGTTTAGCACGTCGCACGTGGACTGTACAGTTGCACTTGGCTCAATAGACTGTGGCCCAAAGATGGCGGCTACTCCTTGGTCTAGGAGGTCACAAGCTGCAGGATGAGGAAATTTTTAATTTATATCTCCGTACACAAACAATACGTACATCTATAGCTCTAGCTTTCTGGTTTAGAAAAGTGAAGATTGTAGGTTAAAGAAAAAATTTAGATCAATTATTTGTTACTTCATAAATATGCAAAATAATATCCGCGAGATGTAAAACTCCCATTGGTTATATCATTTTATATATATAGACTTGCTGCTGTATACTAAAATAAGAGCCCCCCAGTGGCACAGCGGTATGTCTGCGGACTTACACAGCTAGAAACCGGCACAGATAGCCCTTAAGCGCCTTGTGCATAACTACAAACAAACAAACTAAAATAAGAATTTAGATAATTTGTTTGTTACCTTATAAGTATGTAAAAATATGTTTCTGCTAAAAAAAAAGATAGATTTACATTTCCAGTGTTGTTGTTGTAGGGTAAATATTTAAAATGGATTCTCTGAAACAAAGCTTAAGAGAAAGAGAAGTCATGCTGAAAAACGTTTTTCCATTTAAATTTCTGGGACTTGAATTAGTTATTTCAATAGTTGTAATAATGTGATTAGAGAAATATTCCTTATAACAGCAAAAGTTCTTTTCAGTTGAAAAAACGTAAAATTTATAACGTGGAGAACTGGAATGCTACACATATTTAGAAGTTTGAAAAAATATATAATTCTACCTTCTCAACCCAAAAGCTGACACATTATGGAATGGACGTACAATTACGCTTCTGTAAAAAACTGCCATCTAAAGCTAATGGTTAAATTCATGTTGTATTTTACAAAAATCGCTTTGGAGAAGCGTGAAATTTAGGTAAGTCTCAGTTAAGAAAAACCCTACTTCTTTAGAGAACCGGTTGAACTTAATTATCAAGATAAAATTGTATTTCAATAATAGAAAATAATATAGAAAATCAGATTAAATCAGATAATAGAGACATTAAATACCACTCATTGTTGTTTTCCGTTAAATACATCACATATGATCAATAAAACATGAAATAAAACAAAATCTGATAGTGTATCTTTCCCCACACACTGTTAATGCAAAAGGTATGTTTTGGCAAGTTTGATTTTGTTAGTCTTAAATAACTTAAGCGGGAGTATGAAACATGCCATAATATTTATAACTGAATTTTATACCTTTTCTCTGTATTTGAACTACGTGTATATTCAACAACAGTTATAATATTATCTACACACTGTAACTTTCTTTATCTATACCTGTGTGCATATTGAAACCAAGCACCATGATTCATGTAAAAACTAAGTGAACACTCTCTATGTCTATCAACTATATTACTGAAACTAATGGCACTTTATAATTGAATGATGTTTCAGATCTCGTGTTGTATTTATTGCCGCGTGTGTCCATTCTGATGGCTGTAGTTAAACACTGTTGCGCGATAACGCAGATTTCTCGGTAACAAGCTTCATCGAAATACGGTCAGGTCAATCTTTAGACCATATATCTTGAGAAGCTTTCCACAGACCATCCATTGTACTGAATATAAACTTCCAAGGCCACGGTTAAGTAAACCAGAGGCACAAAAACCTATTTGAGCTGCATCAGGAGATTGAACAGGTACATGCTCGAGTGGGATTCTGTGTTTTCAGTTTCTTCAACTATCTTTCTCATGAAAACAACTGTCAATTTCCGGTGTGGTTGGAAGTTTGTGAACTCTTGTCCTTTGAGCTTTCGTCAACTTGAAATATTTATTATCCTGTTAAAGATATCAGAAAAAAATCTCTAGGATTCGTCGCAGCGGATTTTTAGGACAGATTATTCTATTTTTTCAATCATAGTCTTCATCTTTCGTGACCACTGCGAATGATGGCATTGCCTCAGACTGGTTTGCACCATGGTTTTGGAGCTATTGCTATCATAAGACTGTATGCCAATTCCCAACCATTATATATAATACATCAACGTAAAAGCGTAGCAGTGTTTGAAAAGAGATGTAACTCGAAAGTGAATGCAAGTAAATTCAGCGGCATTTGAGAACAATGAAATCAAACAAAAGAGAAAAATTGGAAAAGAACAAACAATCTTACATGGCATTTAATATAAATGTATCATTAATTAGATGGAACATCAGCGAATGACTTCAAAATATTCTGAAAAATAAATGCATCTACATTCATTTCTCAACTCAACAAATCGGTACGTCCTCTGTCAATCTCAAAAGAATCCAAGTGAATGCTGATATATAGCAATATGTTGTGACACTAACAGCACTTTATCTTTCTGGTTGTGTTTTCATAGCTGCAGTGAAAGTATCTGCGTATGTCAGTCACGTGGCTCTAAGTCTAAAACAAGTATTTCGAAAATGCTCTCACAACTGTTACATTTCGCACCAGCGTTGTTAGAAACCATTGACTGAGTAGTCTTAGCTTTAACGTTGAATATGTTATCACTCTACATATTTTCGTTTTCAATAATACTCCCTGAGCCACTTGTTGAACAGCAAGGTTTTTGCGAAAACATCTATATGACCTTTTTATTTGTTTTCCATTCTTTGTGAAACGTTAAATTAATAACTTGCTTGGAAGGCAGACCAAAAATTTCATGAATATCTAACATGGTTATCTTCCAAGACCTGTTGCTTATACCATTTGTAAAGCCAATATAAATTAAAATATGATATTTTAACCTGAGTAAACTTTACTGGCTTTTTTGAAAGGACAATAAAGCTAGCCACGAATAGATATTCCTACAAGGTGTTTCTACTGAAAACTATCAAGATCATTCATTAAACTTAATTTCACTTTGCCTTGTATATGCCTATTAATCTGGAGTTAAGACACTGATGCTAGACGTGAATAGACTCTCCTATGTTTTGGTTTGTTTTGAATTTCGCGCAAAGCTACACGAGGGCTATCTGCACTAGCCGTCCCTAATTTAGTAGTGATAGAAGAAAGGCAGCTAGTCAACAACGCCCGCCGCCAACTCTTGGGCTGCTATTTTACCAACGAATAGTGGGACTGAGATTAATATTATAATGCCCCCACGGCTGAAACGGCGAGCATGTTCGATGTGATGAAGATTCGAACCCGCGACACACAGATTGCGAGTCGAACGCCCTAACCACCAAGGCATGCCAGGTCCCATACGTTTAAGTATGCTGGATGTTATCATGGTCAGCTGTTCAACTTATCACTACTTTTTAATATGCTTAGTATCGCTCTGTTATTTTTTCTCTCGGTTAATTTTTTATGTATTAATACGAATTTTAAACTACGTATCTTAAGAAGTTTTTATCACTATATTTTGCATTTATGGCAATAATACTAATCTTATTTGCTGCTCCTTAACTTTGAGACACTAACTAGTGGAAGGTAATCAGTCAATGACACCTTTATTACCCACCATCTCCGATAAGGGATTGATTATTCTTCTTATAACTCATCCACAGCTTAAATGCGGGGAATATTTTATGTATCATATGGATTCAAACTCGGCTCCGAAATCCAGAGATATATCACACGAACAACACGCACCCATTATTTATCACTATTCACTGTTACGGTAGGAACTATTTACTTGTTTATTCTGATTATTTTAATTTTGACAGACGTTTTTGATGAACCTACCAATAAGCGTAGTTGCCAAGTAATTCGCTACTTGTGCAAGACCTTTGGTTCGTTTCGAGTCCGTTGAGCAGATTCAGGCCGTTGAAAATGCCTAATACATAGATCTTCATTAATTCTTCGACTTAGTTGGATGACAACGTTTTCAACAGGCTATAAGCTCGCCAGTAAAAGGTAGTTAAAACCGTTTTAATCGCGCAGAGTTAATGAAATGTCTTAAAGTGCGAAAAATAAAATCACAATTACAAAATAAATCAAACATACCTTTTAAAGATTGGTTTAAATACTCTTAGATAATGTTAATGTATTTTTCTTGTATATTCAAAATATTTCGAGAAAAGAAAAACTCACTTGAAGTAATAATTCAAACAAATCAGCCCGCACAACAAAACTGGTAATACCGTATATTTCGGTGTATAAGACGCACTTTTTTTACTCCAAGGTATGAATTATATATATATATATATATACGATATACACCAAGCCATGTGTAAATATATTT